TGAATAGGTTTCTCTAAAAAGTAAGCATGAAATTACTTTCTCAGTTGGGATACTTTAACATATTTTAAGAAAAACAGACATAATCACTTTCCAGCAAACAAAGGCCTTAGTTGCTTTAACATTCCAATGCCTTTGAGTGCTAGTAAACTAAAGTAGTTGTTTCATGGGAGTGATAAATCAGTACGGTAAATGGATGTTTTAATATATTATTAGTACCTGAGAAACAGTTTTTTCCTATAGGAAAGGGGAAAATACTTTTCATTTTATCAGAACGGGACATCATTTTATTTCTAAATAATGGAAAGATATGGACAGGCGTGATACTATAGACTTTCATTAAAAGGCTCCAGCAACAGACTTAATAATTAACTTATTAATACTCTAAGATGGAAATACATCCAAGTTCCACTTGGATAAACTCGGGCAAAAGTAATTTGACTTCACCGAGTGATTTAGCTTCAAAATTATTAAACTTAGTCCCTGACTCTGTTTACTCTTTTTTGTATTCTCTTATTGCAATATGAAGTGTTAATTCCATTCCAATAATTAGGATTGGGCATAGTTCACTATGTAGCCACTGGAAAGAAATACATGCCAAAAGTTTAAATACATTTGCAGTTGCCTATAATAATGTCTTTCCCTTTTGAACCAGCAGAGGGTTCTTTATGTGATTGATCTAATTATTGAGCAGTCATTTCGTGGTTTAACATTATTTAATTGGCCTGATTATTCTCTATTGATTTTGTACTTATACAAATAACAGCACTGCAATGGAAACGCAACCTAAAGGAGAGGTTTTAGAATTATTAATCAGTGGTATTTTGCCTTCTTAGAATAAAATCTCTTTTTCCTATGGAGTAATGTAATAAGATGGAACCTGGTCTTGAAAGTCTAATTAGTCAATAGATAATCCATTTAAGCATGGTTACAACAGGTGGCAGTCTTCTTCTGAGCATAAGGCTAATGAGCACGTTCATTTATGCATAAGGTAATTGTAATATAGTTATCTGGCACTGAGCCTTAGAAGACATTTTGTTTAAATTTTAAAAATTCTAGTGTGATTTCTATTACCTTGACTTAGTTTTACATATAGCCATTTCTAAGTTTGTTCTAACCTTCCCTATGGCTTCTGGGTGAAACCACTACAAAAACGCAAGGAAAATGCACCAGCTCATTCCTCATCCTTCACTTCCTCCCACCCGTGGAAACATGCTATGGCTGAAAGAGGTAGAATCTTAAGCAATCAGTTTGCTGAAACCTTTGCATAGTCTTACATTATAGTGTGATATAAGTATTTTCTTGTGTCACTGATTACTTATATAGAACTAAAGTCAAAATGTATCTTCTGAAGGCATACTGAATTGCTGTTGCTTTTCATGACAAGTATCTCATCTTATGGAGTAATATTCAACTACTAAAATACTTAACATTCATTAATATTAATAAACGCCTTTGTCACCTCTAACATCTAGGGTCCTTATCATTAACCAGATACATATCAAATGCTTAATATGCATCTTTAAATACCTTCAGAATATTAATTTATAATATGATACAAAGTCCAAGTTTTATACATGCAAAGCTTGAGATTGTTGTGGATCATATTAGTCTCATATGATTTTGTTTTTTTCATTCTTTTTCACTGTTGCCAGTGGAGGAAACAGTAATTTCTATATATTTTTTGTGCCATTAGATCTTGGACATAGATGTTGATGCCATTGTTAGCACCAGCATCAGTTTGGCTCTAACTTTTCATATTACTGAAATAATCTGTCCTTTCACAGAACTCCTATGCCTTTGTAGTTCAAACATTATTTTGAAACTTTGTCAGTCCTGCTTTTGGTCTGTGTTGCCAAGATTTGTAAGTGAATGACCAGAGTTTAAGTATCTGTACTTCTTCAGCAGCGTAAACCCTTGGCATGAATGCCTACATTTTTTTTGTAGACTTGCTTTCGAATTTTTCTTTTTAAGTAAAAATGTTGAAGCAATGCTTACATTGTGAAAGTCTTCTGTGATGCAGATTCCATTTCTCTACATTTCATATTGATTGTATCTTGAAAACCTCAAGATGTTTTACAATGCTGGGGAAATAAATCCTCAAAGACAATATAAATCTTGTGTCCTAAGACAGCTACCTGAACAGGATAACGGAATTCAAGCTTTTCCACTTGAATTTTGAAAAAAGGACCTATTCCTCATGCTTTTCCACCCCTTGCCACTTCCCAGTTTATAAGCACCATCTGCTTTTCAATGTTCTTTGCAAGATACTGATCTCAACAGGTACAATTCCTGCATGAGTTCAGTGACTTAGCAAGAAGGCATGCTCTGTAGACAGTACACCTCTTTTTTGACTTCTGGCTGGCCAAATGTCCTAGTTTCAGGTGGGGCAGAGTTAGTTTTTCTTTTTAGCAGCTAGAAGAGCTCTGTGTTTTGGATTTAGTCTGGAATTCGCTATGAGAAGAATGTTGATAGCACACTGATGTTTTTAGTTGGTGCTGAGACATCAAGGACCTTTAAGCTTGCCTTGTTCTTGCCAGTGTACAGGAGCACAAGAGGCTGGAGGGGAGCATGGCCAGGACAAAGGGGCCACAACTCCCCTTGATGATTTGAACTTAGATTTAGGATTGAGGGCTAAATTGGCCAATGAAGTATTCCATATCATGCAACATCATGCCCAGTATATAGATGAGAGTTGACCAGGAAGAAGGGCTTTTGCTCTTCTAGGAACCCTCTTGGGAGGGCTCTCACTTGGACTCTCGGAGTGCTGTCTTGCTCCTCTCTTTCCAGCCTCTTGCTCGTCAGGGATTGCAACAGGACTTACCTGTTTCAAGATCATTTTCTAGGACAGGACAGGCATTGGTCACCAAGTGGTGAGCAATTACACTGTGCATCACTTGTTTATAGATATTATTATTATTACACATAATAAAAATAAATAAATAAATAGTACTATTATTAAATTGTTCTTATCTCAACCCATGAGCCTCCTTCCCTTTTCCCCTTTAATTCTCTTCCCCATTCCCCAGGGGTGGAGGAGGGTGAGCGAGCGGCTGTGTGGCGTTTAGTAGCCAGCTGGGCTAAACAACGACACCAGAGGAAAAAAAATTGATTTTAACTAGAGCTCTACTCAAATACATTTCATATGCAGTGCTCTTAGCAAACAAATGGTAAGGAAGAGGAAAACAACACTTTCTTGACTGTTTTTCTCCCACCTCCTACTCTTTATTGAGCCTTTGCTTCTCTTTTGTATCAGAAATGATAAATTTTCACTTGAATAAGCACCTAGCAAAAGGAATATACTTGTAAATAATTTTTATAAAGTATATCAGTAAAATCATAATAATAATAGTCAGATTCTAAAATGCGCATGAATTCACAGCATTTGCAGGTGGAGCAGTAGCAAATTTTGCAAATAAACCCTAACGAAGTAATATTTAATTGGTGTGGCAGTTCTGAGACTGGGAGTAGGACGGTCTTTTACTTTCTTGGTAATTGTTGTTTAAATAAAGGTCTGCAATCCTGTCAAGTGAAGAATGCTGTTTAAGTCAAAAAAATTATTCTTTCTCATTCAATAAGGAGCTCTTTGTATCAATAAGATTAAAAAAGAACCAATTTACTCCTATAAGAATACTGTCTTCAATACTGAATGTACTGCTTCATAGGAAAAAAAGTTTATTTTGCTTTTATTAAAAAAATTACTAAGTTGGATCAACAAAAAAGGTCTCCACCTTAAAACCATTTGAGTATGCCGCTTAGCAGTAGTCTATGACTATTTTATATGGTCTTTATAGTGCTCAATAATGCCATAAAGTTTTAACCTTTATTTTATTGGTACCTACTACTTTTTGTGTTATATGTCTAACGCCAATGAAAAGATTTTTCATGAATCACATGAATTTTTATTTTACTGTTCACATAAAAAAGCTTTCTAATATCTTTTAATAGCAGGATTTTGCGTATGAATTATATCATGGTCAGCATACATTATTCTGAACTTTAGTTTCTGGACCAGAAAGCCATGTTTAAATGACTCTGGGCATTAAAATTAAATGGTTAAATGACTGACTGCATGGACTGGCAGGGTTATTCTGCAGCAGTTAGAAGGTGGTATAACACTGAGTTGTGACATCAAGTTTTAGGATATCTTTGAGAAATAGGGTAAAAATTATTCAAAGGAGATATTTTATTTATTTACGTGGGATTTTTTAACCTGAGAGCTGAACAAGAAGTGACAAATTAAAATATGGAAGGTATAAAATATTCCATCAGCAACAAAACCTGCAGGGACATTTTAGTTTCCATACAGAAGAGGTAAAGCATGGTGAAAGACTTTTTAGCCACAAACTGAATGAAGTTGCCCTAACTAAGATTACTAATAATCTTTTCATTATCCTATAGGTCTCTGAAGCATTTTTTAAGCTTAAAAAAAGCCTAGCTTCTCCTCAAATAGTTCAAAGAAATCACAGACATTTCTCAGACAAAAATCTGATGACAAATATAGATTGCAATTTGTCCAGGCCTGTCATGTTATGCCCATGAAATTCAATGGGTGAAGTGACAGCAGGTTTCTCAGTTGAAAGTGAGTCAATGCTGTTCTACAAACAAGAAGCAATTGCTTCAGAAAGTTTTAGAGAGTTTGTAAATAGTTTCATTTGGGAATTCTTCTCTCAGGCCATAACATTTTGTTTTCACCCTTCTCTAAAAAGCGCCGGCCAAGCACAATTGCACACTAATGTACCAGACAGGTTGGCAGATAGCACCAGTCAGCAACCATTAAAATGATACGCACCAAAACCATTATGGAATAAGAAAAGCTATAGAACACTTAGTATTAACATACTGATCCAAATTGTCCACAGGACATCCACGGGAGTTGTGGCTGGTGCTGCCCGTCCCCAGCGGGGCACAGGAGAGTGGTGGTGTGAGGCTGGCGAAACCACCCTGCAGCCCTGGAGCCCATCTCCATTCCCTTGAGGTGTCTGTCCAGCCCAGGCACTTACCTTCTTGCCACTCAGGGCCTCAAAGTGGCTCCGCAGCTCCTCCACAGTGATGGGAAAGTGCTCGATCTGCTGATGGCCACCTAGGCTGTCCTCCTTAAACACGTCCACTCTCCTGCTGTCTGCCGGCACTTTCTCCATGGTGCTGCTGCAGCTGATCTTATCCGGCACCAGGGACCATGGGGCTGGTGAGCACCCCAGTGTCGGGCCAGGTCTTGTAGCATTGGTGGACTCCCATCTCTGCTTGAGGAGCTCCACAGAGCCCTTCTGCAGGGGCAAGTCTGCCAGCTCCAGCATGCCCTGCCAATGCAAAGTGTACCTGGGGTCAAGGGACAGGCAGCACCATGCTGGCAGAGACCACCACGAGGCTGCTCGAGAGCCCTTGCGAGTCGCAGGACAGGCTGGGATACCAGCTGGCACCTGTGACAGAAGTCACTTCCTGATGGAAAGTGAGATCCAGTAAGACCAGATCCAGTAAGAATCAGTGAAAGAGTTCGATGTGTTCACACAGAAGGAATATGTTAATTAAGAGTAAATTAAAGGTGGTTTTCAGATATTTTATTCTTAAGCTTGCCAGCAGAATTGCTGTCTGTCATGAATGGAAAAGCAGGAAGCACACAATTAGAGAGAATTTCAAACAAAGTGGGGCTAATGAATGAGTGCCTGGTAATCAGTGTGTGCTGCACTGAGAGGTGTTGTGAACAGGTGACTGCTGGTTTCTTTTAGATTTGATACAGCTGTCAGTGTTGTTGAGTGAGACACAGCCTTTTGATGCAGCCAGGAGACAAAAGGGCTACTGCATTAGCTGGGAAAGTACTTGGATAGTCTGGAAACTCCTAATTGCACGGTAGCTCTTCTGGTAGGTAAATTACTACGTGTTGATATAAAATCTTTCTAATAGTTCACTGTGTTCTCACAAAGTCTTATTCCATCTTTCTTACAGTATGATTGGGAAGCAAAAATGCTGTTCTATCATTTTGTACCAGTTGCTGAAATCTGCTACCTGTTTCCTGAGATCAGCACCCAAGAGGTTTGATTTTGAGGTTTTTCTGCCCTGTAGCAAATACTCAAATGTAAGTTTTCATCTCTTATTCAAAATGAGTTTGAATAGAAAAAACATGCATTTAAAACAGTAAAGAGAAGAAACGTTAGCAAGAACTGAGACCCAACCACTAGCTAAAATCTCAATTCGTTAGCCCTTCCCTTCTTGGCAAAAGAGTTTGTTAAGTGTTTAACTGTCCTTTAACATGCCTACATTTGATTGAGCTTAAATCTGTATTGTTGGGAGTTGGCCTTGGTGGGTTTTTTGAGTCAACTTTTAATCAGAATTAGTGTGATCTGTAACATTTTGCTTAGGAGGAAAAAACATAGGAGAAGCACCGTGTATTTGATGCACTCCAAGAATATTTTTTAAAGGAAACTCAAGAGCCACCTCCTAAAACAAAATAGGAAAGAGTTTCTTGGCTCACAGCTTTCAGCTTCTTTCCAACCAGAAATTGACCTAAGACTTGTCTCTCCTTTAGCTTTTTGGCAGTACTAGGTTGTGACAATGGCTGACGTCCTGCTAGTTCCCCTTGACTGATGCAAACTATCTCCCATGCTCCCCCTTTCTTGCAAGCTAAAGATTAATACCCTTCCTTCCCCTGTCACATGTACCCGTTGTTCTAAGCTGCCTGGTTCCATCTAAGTTCCTAAATGGGTCAGACTTTTAACCCAAAATGAAGAACATTTGTTAAATTCATCAGTTGCTGCTAGACAACAGATAAAACAAAGACATTTGCTTTGTTCATGTGCATTAATTGGCTTGTATGAGGTGAAATTGTGTGGAGATTCAACGGTTTATAGAGTTTGTGATTTGCTGCACTTCCCCCCTGACCCCAAAAGAGATATTTCCTTGTAACATCTGCACTGGTGTCAGGAACAAATTTGAATGTAGGCCTGAACCTGGCTTTAAGCATCTTCCTAAAGATATATTTTAATGAAAATCTCTCTCTGAAACTTGGGGGAGAAATTACTCTCAAAAAACTCAAACCACGTTTTATTACTGCTATCTCTGAAACTGGTCTCTGATCTTCTAATTTCCTTCCCAACCTGTTCATGGTAGTTTAAATCACTGTAGAACAGTAATAGGAATTTATTTCAAGTAAAATATTTGACAAATACTGAATATCTAAAATTGTCAGTTATTTTATGTGTTTCCTGAACTTTATAGAACCTTAGCCTTTATGAAAATGTAGGAAGGAAATAGAGGAAATAAGAAAAAAAAACAGATTTGGACTTTGATCTAAACCACTATTATCATTTCATACTGGCTCTGCTGACTGTAGTTTTTAACTTTTACTGTCCAGCTGTAAAATTATCTTATTTAAGTGAAGGGGAGAATAGATATTGTTGCTTTTATCAAGTATCTTTATTTCTCTTTTTTCATATCCACTATTTTTAGCTCTCAGCTATCTGGCTATTTTTGTCCTCTGGCCTATTCACTTCTCCCCAAAACTTAATTTAGTCTTTCATAGTGACGATAAACTTATTACACCATCCAAGTTGCTGAAATTACAGGAAAATTCATGTCTGTGGGTCTGTGACTATCCTCTTCCCTAGAGTTGCAGAATAGGAGCCCACCCATGAGTGGGACCTGTGACAAGGCAGAACTTAGTCTGTTACACTCATCTTTTCAGTCCCATGGCACCAAACCCCTGCTCATAACAGTCAGATAACAGCCCATAAAAGTGAATGATATATTTAAAAAAAAAAATTATCAATGTGATAGGATAAAGGTTTCAGTTAGTTTAAAACTCTGCAGGGAGCATTACCCTCCCATTTTCCTTGATTTCGAAGACACAACTTTGCTTCTGTGGTCAAAAGTGATGTGTTGGAGAGAGGAAGACTGCAGTACCAAAGAAATTAAGTTAGCTAGTGAGCAGTCATTCTGGCAGAAATTGATGGTGGAGGTTTTGTGAAGGAGCTACCTAAAATGCTATGTATCCTTCAAAAGTAGGTCTTTGTGAATGCTGCCTATAACTTTTTGCATGAATGTGTTTGTTTTATGTGGAGAGTGATAGTACAGCATTCAAACACAGCAATCAAACTGTAGGTTTTACTTTTTTGTGTGTGTTTCTTCTCTGGGATTTTTTGGATCTCTCTCCTAGCAATTTTATAAGAGGCCTACGGTAATTCTTCATTGCGCATAATAAATCTGATAAACGTATAATTTTCCTGAGCAGAAAGCTATAGGAAGACCTGTAGATTTTTTAGACTCATGAATTGCAGATATCCAGTAATTTCAGGGTTATTTTTTAAACTCGAAGTTGTTGATAAATCTATTTTCATAGTAGGATCATTGAAATGGTATTTTTCTTCTTGCACGGTAAATGAGATAAGCCCCCACCTACTGTTTGTAGAATTGGTAGGCGAATATATTCATAAAAGTAATTAAAAGAGCTGTTGACAAAGACTATCAGATCTTCTGTGTATTCCTTTGCCAAAACAGCTACCTGTATTTTCATCATATTCTTGATATCTTAAATGCTTCTTGCATGTAAACTCATTTGTTCACTAGCAAAAAAGTAAATAGAAATTGTAAAAATAGTAAATCGATACAGTTTATTTGTGGAACTACTTGTGAATATTGTTGCTGTGTTCATTTGGCTGTATCCCCATGGAATGATATAATCATGCATATTGTACTGGTGAGTCCTCTCCTGACAGTAGAAAACAGTCTGTTGTCAAATAGCTGCCATTTGCCATTGCACATTGAGCTGGATTTCCTTCTCAATTAAAAAAAACCCAAAAAACCAAACAACAAAAAAAAACCCAAACCCCAAACCAAAAGTCTTTTGAGGACAGGATTTGAGAAGTCCTTTCCATGATCTCCCATGCTACTTCATCCAGCTTGTGCCTCTGACAGCTCCCCTTCTATCTCACCTGCATATCTGGTGCCAGTTAATCTGCACTGTCGGGAATCCCTGGCATGAGGATCCATAGGCCATCTTGGGATAAACTATGAGAGAAGGACTATCTCATTGCAAATGAAGACTGTATATCATTCAACCCAATGCATTTTCCAAACCACTGAAGAACAACCACCAGAATCCAGAGGATACTACAGAACAAAAAGCAGCTGACTCCTTAGTTTATGGCAGTGCTGGGAACAGAGGCATGGTAATGAAAGAGAGAACTAGTAGCTGCCTAATCTCTCCTCTAAATCTAGTCAATAATCGAATAAAATAGTTCAGTTGGAAGGGATCTGCAACAATCATCTAGTCCAACTGCAATATTCACTGGCCACTTCACTAAATAATCTATTCTTCTCTAAGAACTCTTTAAATGTGCACATGAGAGCTAGGCACACACTTCTGACACCATTGCTTGCAAAGCTTGCAGTTTCTTCTGCAGGTAAACAGAGCCTCAAGTATCTGTAACATTTCTTCATTTACATTTCAGACACTTATTAACAAAAGCAGCTCAGACAACTTTGTGAAAAGAGCTAAAATAGTTCTTGATTACTACAAAATGTTAAGAACTTCCAAATTCTTAGTCATATTTTTAGAAAATAGATTAATTTCAGCTGTCATTTAACACGCCAACCTTTATTCTGATACAAATATGCATAGCTAAATAATACAACTTTAAGAAATGTTGTTTCAACTCTAAATTATGGCAGACCCCTATTCTAGCAAATGTAACAAGATTCCAGTGTTTTGAGTTAAATTACACTGGAACACTAATTCTCATATCTTACCAGGAAAATGAGCACGTTTTCTCATCTAATAAGAGAGGACTAGAAAGTGCATTATTCATATTTGCGGGACTTGAGGAAAGACATGCTTACTTTTTTTTCCTTTTATCCCCTTGTTTTCATTTATTACATGAGCAGTATCAGGCCCACACTAGACAGCCTGTTTAAAAAAAAAAAAAAAAAGCAGCATTAAATTGCATACTTATAAATTTGAGCTTAACTTACCGCTGTGTTCTTCTCAGTCAAGTTTTCCAGTTGTGACTCTGCTGCACTCATTGTGTGCCTGTTTAGAGGAAGGCAAATTTAAACATTCTCTAATTCATTGGTCTCATTTGACTAACGAACATGCAGCTTGATAGACACACGTCTGATAGTAGCTACAAAGACACCAAATCTCTTATGTGTTTGCCTTGCCAATGTATTATTTAGTGAGGCATGGAGGTAAAGTATGCTTTCTGCCATACCTCTGGCTGTGCTGCGTGTGCTCATCTTACACTGCTTAGCACTGGCAAAGGCTGGAGGCAACAGCTTCTGTTTCAGTGCCCTCTGGCAGGAAACA